CGCACCCCTCTGGCCAGGCAGCCCCCACTCAAAAGCGTTTTCGTTGCTCCCAGAGCACACACCCTCTTTTTTTAACTCCTTTCTCCCTCTTTTTTTTTTTTTTTCTTTTCCATTACGAGCGATTAGATGGTGTCTATTCAAAGTTGCTGATCCAGAGAGAAAATAGGAGTAGATAAAAGGAGATTTCAAGTGACCTCCTCGTCCCTTTCACACCAACCTGAGCCCCGGAATAGCCAAGGATCAACTCGGACAAAAGCCCTTTCCTTTTCCCTTTCAGCTTCAGAAAATTCAGTGCAAGGGGTTAATAATAAAACATATAACTCTAGCCCAGTTTGGTAGAATCAGGCAATTTTGTATACCTTACTAACGACACCGTTGGATATGCCCGGGCTTCACCCTCAGAAAAGTGTGAATTAAATAAATAAATAAATAATAATTACATAAGAAAGAAGGGGAGCGGGGGGAGGGGGGGGGGAAGGAATTTTTTCCTGGTAAAGTACATAGCAGTCATTTACAGCTTTTGTGTTGGGCTGGAACGATTTACTCTGTTTATTCTGTTTCGTTTAAACTTTATCTAAAGTGCATCCCCGTTCTCCCCATGCAGACAGAATACGCTGTAATAAACATATTGTACTCCTGATAGTTTAAGCGAAAATGCTAAGGCTTATTACTCAGATCAATTTCTGATGAGGTAAATGCAATTGTATCTCTACTCTTGTAGCGCTGCCGCATTTTCCCAGGAAAAACACATTTACGCCTTTTTATCTCTGGTGCAGAGGAGCACCCGAGATAAAGTATTTAATTAAGTAATACTTAATTAAATACTTAAACGCCTTGGAAGCTACCTCTGGTCTGCGGAAAGTCCAGCTCGAACCTACACCTGACGGACTAATCCCCGCAGTAAAAGAAATGGGGTCTCTGACAGGTAACTATTAAGGAAATGATTATATACTGCCGTCGATTGCGTTGTCAGGACAATCTCACAACTTACAAACTCGTTTCCAAACGTCAGCTCTTCATCAGAAGCTCCAGCCCCATTTCGGAATCATAAATAACACCAAATCCAGCCCTGAAAGAAGCCAGGGTTTTAAAATACAGTCAGAGGTGTTTTAGTGCAAAGCCTCCTGTTAATGGCTTTTGTACACTTTTGTTTCTCTTGGCTTCGGTCCTCAGATCACCGTAGCTTTATTTGTGCCGAAAGTAAATATTTGGTCCCGGATTCACCAGTGTGTTGGAAATGATTCCCAGATTTGCCTTAAACAGGAAGGTTTGATTTGCATCAAGAGGTCATCAATTTCTTTTCCTGCACCTCTACTTGGGAACTGACGTGCTCCTTTTATGCTGTTAGACAAGTGGCCTTTGGTTTGGGTGCTTTCTATCCCCTGCTTGTCGGGTTTGGATTTTTTGCGGGTTTTTGTTTGGGCTTTCTTTTTGATGGTGTGGTTTGTTGGCTTTGTGAGGTTCGGTTTTACGGTTGGGGTTTTATTTTCTTGTTTAGGGTTTTGGGGGGGGGGGGGTTGGTTGGTTGGTTGGTTTGGTTTGAGGATTTTTTTTTGTTTGTTTGTTTGTTTGTTTTTAACTTCCAGGTACAGATTCCCCCTCCTTTTTCTTCCTCTTTTTTTTTTTTCACTTTTTTTTTTTTTTTTTTTTTCTAATTAAGAAAGGGAGCCTTTCTGATGCTCACGCGTTTCTGTTTAGATGGCTGGTGAGAGCAAGTTGTGATTCAGCGCCGTGCTTTCGGGTTGGCACCGGAGCCAGATACTTTTGAGCGCTAACAGATTACAAACCCCGTCTCGTCGCGGTCGCTCTGCCGGGAAGGCTCCGGGGACGGCAGATTGCCTTCCCGAGGGGGTGACGGGGGGGCCTGGGGGGAGCCGCTCTCACGCAGCTCTTTTGCCAATCCAGTCTAAAATTACCCCAGAGAAGCAGGCGGCTTGCGTGGAGGGGAAGGGCGATCGCGCCTATGGGTTAAGCACACGCGAAGAGCAAGGAGCGCGGGGGGTGAGAAGGACACGGGCGAACGTACGATGATAAGGACGCGGGGATCCTCCTCGGGGGTCGTGGAACCCACTGGGATGCTCAGCAGATCCTCACAATGAGGGGATGTCGGTCAAGACCCCAGGAGGGTGATTCAGAGCCGGGGGTAGACTCCGCTTCCACGAGTGGTTTCAAGAAATATATAAATAAATAAGGCAGAATATGACTGTTGAGTGCGTTGGGGGGCCGGGGGAGAAAGGACAAGGTGGAGGCCCCTCTTTCACATGGCCAGCCTCCTTCAGTAGAATGGAGCAGAATGGCCTGGGCGATGGGCTTGGGCGATATCGACAAGGATACCTGGCAGAGGGGGACATGTGCACCCGGGAGGCCCGGGGAGGTTGGGGACACCCCCCGACATCGAGCTTTCTTTGTAAAGCGGAGGTGGTCGGCACAAAGCACAGCCGGGTGAGCATCCCACAGGGCTGCTCCGACCAGGTGCTGCGGGCAGTGAGGACCGAGCAGCGCAGAGCCCCCAGGGGGACTGGGCCACCTCCCACCAGGCTGCCTAGGATGATGCAACCCAGTGGAGACCCCCTTCCTTGGGCAGGGGACAAATGCTTCCCCTTCATAAAGCACCACCTCCAGCCCGCGCATCTTTTTTATGCGCTCCGCAAAGAACTTGGTTGTCCTCCAGTTTTGGGCGGGGGGGGGGAAGGAGGGGGAAGAAAGGAAGGGGGGAAATAAAGGGGGGGGGGGGAATGCCAAAGAAGGAAAAGGGCTGGTATGAAAGGCCTTAGCACCGCTGATGGGAAATGAGGCCTGGCCCAGCAATGGCTTTCGAAGCCTAGCCCGGCACAGCCGACCCTAGCCCGGGTGCTGGGCCCGGGAAAGGGGGAGGACGGAAGGGCCGGGTCACATCATTAATCCTGGGAGTGGTCTCGGTATGACCGATCACATCCCTTTTGCAACCGGGGCGGCCCCTTTCCGACCAAAGGAAGAAGAGGGGAGGGCGGCAGAGGGGGACACCCCACCGCGACCCTCTGTTTTTACAGAGTCCTGGATTGAAGGTGTTTGCCGATCAGAGTAGGGTATGACTAAAAATGCTAAAAACTGGGAGAGAGAGGCACATTCCTGCATGTCAGGGCTGCTCGCTGTGCCCTGCAACAGCAACCTGCGCAGTTACTGTCCTCTCTCCGCCCTGCTCCCTGCGTGCATACTTTATATATATATATATGTGTGTATAAATATACATAGATATACATGTATGTCCATGCTCATGTGAGTGTATTTGTACATATATATATATATATAGAGTGCCTTGCAGAGCCTGGCAAGGTGGAGCAGCCATCTAATGTTTGCTTTGGAAAACAGGCTACCATCTCAGTTCCCAACTTACATGCAGCCCGGCCGCTTAAAAATAATAACAATAATATAATGTACTACTAATGCCATCAGTTGGGGGTTACATTACAGTCTATAAACAACACCCCTGCCTCCATCCCCGCCAGAAATAGCGTGTAGAAGTTGTCACCACTAATATGTAGAGGAACTTTTCCCTTCCAGAAGGGGCTGTGAAGGAGAGAGGCGACAAAACACCGTCCCAGGTTCGGTTACACCGGGAAGGAAGAGGAAAGGGAGACATGGGGGTTAAAGAATTAAAAAGACGGCGGGGGAACTTGGAGAAAAAAATCCCAGAGTATAAATCCTTCCAAAACTCTGCCACCTTCAGACCTAGCCTGGCCAAAGTGGGTTCTGGGGAAACAGAGGGGGAAACAAGTCTGAGCAAGTCCCCATCTCCGTTTCCTCTACCCACTCCAGATCCGTAGAGGTTAAAAGGCAATCAAAGCTCATTTCCCCAATTAAACGTGAGTTGTGTTTAAGTGTCCCTGTAATTTGTCGGGGAGGGCAAATGCCTCCCGTCGGTTGAACTGTGTTTTAACCTGGGCAGCTGTAGGATGAGTCTGCTTTATTGGTGGAGGCTCCCCCTCCCAGGCTTCCGCGCCACCTCTGGGCGCAGCAAGCAGAATTTTCCCCTGGATTCCTGCAAACTTCACCGGCCCTTCAAGCATCGGCTTGGTGTTTCTTTAAAATACCCCACATTTAATAGCACGCAGCACATTAAAATAACCAAGCGCCTAACAGCCAGGAGAGGGGAAAAAATGCCTCCCCCTCCGCACATCCCCCGCTGCCGAAACCAGCGCAGTTTGTGCGGGTTTGGGCTTCCGCATAGTTGCGGCTCCCTGGGCCCGGCTGTAAGAGCATCTGATTGCCGCGTTGACAATATAGCCCGGATAAACAGACTGCCATCGATCTTTTCATTAGGTGATCGAGCCAGGCACGGGGCAGGTGAAGGAGAGGGGCACGGGGAGGGATGCTCGCACGTCCCCACCCTGGTGTCCTGCCGCGCCAAGCTGTGCTCTGCGAGGGCGTGTGGTTGGTGCCCGAGGTCCCGAGTGGGTCAGCGCTGAGAAGCACGCGTTCTCTGAGAGGAAGGGGCGGGGGGGGGGGCCCAGTTCCAGTGTGGAAATACTGGAACAGGTTTCTATAGGGGCAGGCTGTAAAGGGGAGAGGTTCGATTCTGGACAAAATGAGGGCGAAGCACGGCTCCCTCCGCCCAAATTACGGGATGTCCAAATAACATGAGGTGCCGGGGGGATGGGGGGGGGGAGAGGTGTTGGGGAAGGTCTCTCCGCCAAGTGCCGCGGTCCCGGTCCCCTCCCTCTGCTCCCAAACCCCGAGAAGGGACGCGGCGACTTGCCTGGGGTGGCCGTGGGGCCGGGGCCGGCGACGGGGAGCCCGGTCCGGGGGAAGCCCGGTGCGGCGGCTGGGTCCGTCCACCTCCTCGCAGGGTTTCTGTCTCTGTCTGCCTGTGTCTCTGTCTCTGTCTCTCTCTCTCTCCCCCTCTCTCTCCGTGCCTTGCTCTGCCTCTTTTGCTCTGTTTCTTCACAGTCTGGGGAGTAAAATCTAGATGATATACATACCGAGCTTGCTTTTTTGTCCGATATAATCTTATTCGTTTCACCTTTTCACTGACCAAGAGACAGGACCGGGAGTTTATTTGGAAAGAGGGGGAGAGAGGAAAGGAGCCTACTGTTGCATAGTCAATAACATCCTTTTTATCAATGCAATATACAATAGGGACGGCTTGGCCAACGGACTCATTGAAAATCTCTTCATTATTTCGGGACAAAATCAAGCGTTTTTTTCTGATCTCAGAAATGATGAAGGATTCTCCTCTCCAGCCGGCTCCCAGTCTCAGATTTCACAGCTGACAGTGAAAGAAGGGAAAAAAAAAAAAAAAAAAAAAAAGAAAGTGATCACCATGCATAAAGTTGAGAGCTTTTTCTTTTATTTTCTTGGGGGTGTGGGGGGTGTTCTTTGTTTTTCCTCTTTCTGATGAAAGCAACGTCTTTTTACAAGAAAATAATAACAATAAAACTTCTGACATATATTTCATCCCTTTTCCCAGCTGCAGGGTTTTTTTTCTCCCGGCTACCACTCTGATGATAAACTTCTATTGGGAGCTGAGGGGAGGGTTTGGTGTGGAGTGGTGTGGGAGGATATTTTATTTTCTTTATAATCTTATAGTTTGTTTCTCCTTTGTCACACAGACCCAAAATTTCAGACCTCTGGCAGAAGGGGGTTGTTGCTGGAAAGGTAGGCTTGAGAGAAAGGAGGGACAAGGACGGGAATGAAGGGTCTTCCTCGCTCCAGTGAGGGTTTATATTAAAAATAAAGAAGGAGAAAGGTAAATATATATATATATTATTTTTTAAGAGGGCATGTGTGACAGGCCGCAGACAGGCTCGGCGGCCCCCCCGTTCTCCCCTGAACTCCCCCGGACCGAGGGCTCGGTGCCCACTAGATGGCAGCCGGCGCCAGCGATTCCCTCTCGGCTCCTTTCTGCTCAGCGCCGCCGCCGCTGCGGTCGCGGAGGAAAGGTGAACCCTCGCATCTCCGACATACGGAGCAACTCGCTTTTGGGGAGACGGAGGCAGTGGGGAGGGAGACCTCCGGGTAGGGGGCATTTCGCAGAGGGCGATTTGAGCTCTGATAGCTCACACACACCCCGAAATAATTTAATTAAAAGGGGTGGGGGAATCCCACGAGGGAAGAGCGGAGCCCGGGGGGCGGGGGGGAGATCGGGAGAAGGGTGGGCATATCGAGGGAGAGGATAAAAAATAGCCCAAAGTGGAATGGGAGCATGTGGAGATGTGGATATGAGTGTGAGGCTGAGTGTGCAAGTGCTCGGGCAAACGGACGCCTGACCCTCCGTGCAGCCGGAGTGTTTTCTACTCCACCATTAAATCCCCTGTCGCGGCTTTGGTGGTTGGAAGGTGAGGGAGGAATCGCGATTTCAGATGGGTGGGAGGAGGGAAAGGAAGAGAAATAGAAAAAGGAAATAAAACCAGAGGAAAAAATAAAAAGGGGGGAGGGGGGGAAGAATAAAAGAAGAGGGGGGAGCCCACCAACTTTTCCCTGGAAGCCTACATCGTCCCCTTTTAATTCCCCCTTTCCGCCTATCGCAACGCATCCTCCCCTGTCGATGTGTGTGCTGATGGGGGGGGGGGGGGGATCTTGAAAAGAGAGGGAGGAAGAGACCGTAGACGACCCATACTAATCAGGTCTCAAAGTAAATAGCAGCGCAGGGCGATCGCAATGTAAATTGTGCTTGTCAGAAGAATCCCCTCTCTCTCCCTCCCTCCCTCCCTCTTTCCCCCCCCCCTTCTCCTCCCTTCCCCATCCCAGGCGGTAGGTAGCCGGAATTTAAATATATATATATATTTAATTAAATAAATATATATATATTATATATAATATATATAATGTATATAAAGGGGGGAGAAAAGGGGGGGGCGAGCGCTGGGGGGGCAACCAATGGAGCGCGGGAGGCTTGGCTAACCTTAGCTTCCCACTCCCCCCCCCCCTCCCCAATTCAGGGCTCTGACCAGTCAGTCGCCTTTGATTATCAGTTGCCAGCAGCCCTTCTCTTGGCTCCTTGACACGCGCTCCATATAAGGCAGCGATCTCCATAGAAACGTGTCAGTTTCAATAGTAGTGTCAAAGTTCACTATATACAGACATTTCGAGCAGATCCCCCTTTCGGAAACATTGCTCAGCTAGGCTTTCCGTTTAAACGCATTCATTTTTTGGGTCTCTCTCTCTCTCCCTCTTCCCTCCCCCCCCCCTTGCATATTCTATTAGTTGTGTGCTTTTCCCCCCTCTCTCTCTCTTCTCCCCCTTCATCTCCCTCTTCTCCTTCCTTTTCTTCTTTTTTCCACCCTTCCTCCTTGTGTCTTTCGCTTCATTCCTGCAGGAGAAGAGGAGAGAGAGGTGAAACTGAAAAAAAAAAAAAAAAAAGGGAGAGAGAAAAGAATCTCAGAAAGAAGGAAAAACGGGGATAAAGCAGAGACGGGGAAAGAGGAGGGGGAAAAAAAAGTCCGGAAAGGAGAGAGAGAAAGCGCTCATATCTTAATATCGTTATTATTTTGACCATTCTTGCCTATTTTTTTATTTTGGGGGAGGGCTTCTCTTGTGGCTGATGAGTTTTTACCCGAAATACTTTTTCCAGGCGAACTGAAAAAAAAAAAAAAAAAAAAAAGAAGACCTTCTGGGGGGTTGATTTCCACCGATTTTTTTTTTTTTTTTTCTCCTTCTTCCTCGCAACCGGCATCGTGCGCTCTCACAGGAGAAGAGAAGAAGGAAGGGGCAAGAAAGAGGAAAAGAAGAGGATTTATTTACCCGACCTACTTTGGATCTCTCTTTTTCCTGCGCGTGTCATTATTATTCCCGTCCTCTATTTTTACACTTCGCCGTGAATTCGTCTCCTCTGCGAATTTAGTCACATCCGATTTTTTTTTTTTTTTTGAGAATTTTTTTCCTCTTTAAAAAAAAAAAAAAAAAGGCGAGAGGGAGCTCGAGCGAGCGAGAGAGACAGAGAGCGAGAGAGAGCAGCTCGGGAGAAAGAGCAGCGACCGGCAACCTCCTCCTCCTCCGCCACCGCCGCCGCCGCCGCGACAGGAGATCAAACTGCTTCAGCTCCCTGCCCGCCTCCACCGCTCTCCCCGGCCCCGCCGCCCTGCATGGCTGACGGCTCCTTGCCCTGGACCTGGCCCCCGGACACCTCTATGCCCTGATCGCCGGCCGACGGCTCCTCTCGGCACCTCCCGCCTCCCCGATCACCGGCAGTGGGAACAGCCTCCGCGGGAGCGGCGGCGGCGGCCGGGCCCCGGCAGCGGCGAGCGGCGAACGGCGACCTCCTCCTCCTCCACCTCCTCCTCCTCCTCCACCTCCTCCTCCTCTTCCTTCCCCTCCTCCTCCTCCTCCTCCTCCTCGGCGGCGCCGCGGCTTCCTCTATGCCCGCACATCCTCCGCGCTCGTAGCGCCCGGACCGCGTGTGTGCCCGTGCCCGTGTGCGTGTGCTCGACTGGGGGAGCCCGCCGTGTGCCGGGCGTGTGCGCGCCTGTCTGCTTGCGTGTGCGTGTCCGGCGTGCTACTCCTCTGAATGCCTCTCCCGACAGCCTTGTTTGCCGTTTCTGATTTTGCAACTTGAAGTGGCGGCCGGTGTGGTTGGGGTTTGGGGGGTGGGAGGGGGTGAGAGAGAGGGCGCGGAGAGGCGGCGAGAGCCGCGGAGAGCGGGAGCTGAGCGGGGAAGCGGCCCGGAGGGGGTATTTTAAAGGAGAGGGGAGGGGGGGGTGAAAAGCGCAGGAAAGGGCAGGGAAGGAAAGGGAAGGGAGGAAGAGGAAAGGAAGAGTGTGGTTTAAAAAAAAAAAAAAAAGAGAGAGAGGAAGGAAGGGAGAGAGGGAGAGAATCCTCTGTTGCCCCCTCCCCCTCCCTAAAAAAGAAGAAGAAAAAAAAAATTAGCGAGAGCGAGGGGAGGGGGGCTCCCGGCGAAAAATAAATAAAATAAAGAAAACGGCAGGAGCGGCTCCAGGCGTCAGCGGCAGCAGGGCAGCGGCGGCGGCAGCCGAGGCGGAGGCAGGCGGCAGGCAGGGTCCCCTCGCTCCCCGCTCGCCCCCGGCGCCCGGTCGGCCGCCCCCAGCCCGCCCCCCGCCTCCCTCCCCGGCAGCCCGCAGCGAGACGCGCCGCTCCCCAGCACTTTTTTGGGCCCGAGATATGGCAATGGTAGTTAGCAGCTGGCGAGATCCGCAAGAAGACGTGGCCGGGGGCACCCCGAGCGGCCCCAACCCCGCCACGGCGCAGCCGGCCCGGGAGCAGCCGCCCCAGCAGCAGCAAGGCGGGGGCTCGGCAGCCCCGCACACCCCGCAGACCCCCAGCCAGCCGGGACCCCCCTCCACGCCGGGCACGGCCGGGGACAAGGGAGCGGGCCAGCAGGGCTCGGGGCAGAGCCAGCAGCACATCGAGTGCGTGGTGTGCGGGGACAAGTCCAGCGGCAAGCACTACGGCCAGTTCACCTGCGAGGGATGCAAAAGTTTCTTCAAGAGGAGCGTCCGCAGGAACTTAACTTACACATGCCGCGCCAACAGGAACTGTCCCATCGACCAGCACCACCGCAACCAGTGCCAGTACTGCCGCCTCAAGAAGTGCCTCAAAGTGGGCATGAGGCGGGAAGGTGAATATTTCTTCCCTACTATGCTCTATCTCGCTCTTTCTCCCTTCCTTCCTCCCTCACCCCCCCTCAACCGCCCTCCCCTGCACCCGCGACTGGGCAAGGCGTGTGTGTGCGAGGGGCTCTCTCCGTCTGTGTGTCTGCCTGTGCACAAACGTGCACCGGTATGCATAGGCAGCACATATATGTATTTATACACATACATATATATGTGTATATACGTATATATGTATACACGCGAGCGCACACGCTCGGCTTGCACGCACATACATATATATATATAAGCACACATATATATATATATATATTTACGTCTTTCCGTGGCGATCTAGGTCTCTCCCTCTCGCTCCCTCTTCCCATGCACATGTCAATCTCTCCCTGTGCCTGCGCTCCATCTGGCAGCTTTACGCCAGGTTTTGTTGTTATTGTCGATGGTGGTTGGTGGTGTTTTCTTTTGCTTTTCGGTTTGTGCCTCCTGCCCTCCTCCCGCTCCTCCCCACCCCCTTCCCCGGCACCACCGTGCTCGCCCCTTCCCCGCTCATTGTGCCGAGAATTTGCTATTATTATTATTATTATTTATTAATTATTCCTACTAGTATTACGGCCGCTCGCTATATATTTATCATTTAAGCTGCTGTCTCCGCTCCCGAGTATGTGTGTGTGCGTGTGCGTGTGTTTGGATGTGGTTTTGTCTATTGTTGGCAAGAGACCGGGGGGTGGGGGGAGATACATCTCTCTCCCGTACGAGATGTGCTTCCATTCAGCTTCCTTTCCCCCACAACCACCCCCTTCCGCCCCATCATTTCTTTTTAAACCCGCAACACTTCTCGGTACGATCCATTTTCCCAGCCTCTTTTTTTTTTTTTTTTCCCCCGAAAGATGAAAGACGTGTAAGTAGGGAAGAAAAGAGGAAAGGGGGTGAAAAAGAGGAAAGGGGGGTGGAAAAGGGGAAATGTGCTACTGTATCTCCGCTTCCTTGTGCTTCCCGGTGCCCTGGAGTGTGCTTCTGTGCGAGATTTGGCCTTGTTTTCACTCCATGCGTTCAAAGGAAAGTTTGTGACTGAACTGGGTTTCTGTACTTCTGTCATTTCTTTTTTTTTTTTCTTTCTCTTTTTCCTTTTTAGCAAGCTGCTCATTTTATTTCTTCATCAAACTCCACCCTCTCCTTAAAGCCTGCATACAAATCGCGATTTATAACCTATTTGCCGGTTCTTCTCATTTTAGCAGAATCCGCAGCCTGCATCTGGCAGCGGGCTCCTCATCATTTCCAACTGCGCTGCTATTTATTTATTTTATTAATTCTTTTTTTTTTTTTTTTTTTCTTCTCCTCCTTTCCAAGAGTCGCTGTGGTTTTCCTCGCTTTCAGGCTCATTTTCGCGTAGGAAGGTTTCCTGCCTTCCTTTTTCTCCTCGAAACGTATTTTCTTGGTTTGCATTTAAAGTTTACCCTGTGACTGTCGTTAAAGATGTCTTAGAGTCACATCAGCGAAACAGTCGATTTTACAGAGAGGAGATTACTACTGCCTTAATTGGTTTTAAAATATATATATTTTGTATGCCACAAGGAAAGGAATGAAGCAGCTCCAGATCTGAAAGAGCTCGCAAATATGACGACTTCATTGGCAGCTTCAGGGGCTGTTGGTAGGCGTCTTGAGGGGGGGAAGGCAAAAAAAAACCAACCAAAAAACGGGGGAGGGGGGAAGGAAGGAGTAGGAAAAAAATAATCAAAAAAGGGCAAGTTAGAATTGTGCTCGCAGCTAATTGACAAATAACTGCCAAGTTTACAAGGAGGTGGGAGAGGTGGGCTGGAGAGGTCCGGCCCGGGAGGCGAGAGGAGGAGGGGTGCTGGGTGGGGGAAGTAAGGAGAAAGTTGGGAAAATGCGGTGGCACGCCGGAAAGATGAGTGATGTGCGTGAGTGTGTGTATGTGTGTGTGTGTGTGCGGGTGTGGGGGGAACGAGCCTGAGCAGTCGTGTCTCCTCCTGAAATTACCTTTGTTTACATGGCATGCGGCTGCACAGGCTGGCACTGATAGAGAAAAACACACGCACACACTGGGAGAAAAAAAAAAAAAAAAAAAACAACAAACAAACCAACTTTGGTCAGCTTTCGGGACTTGAGACATGCTTACGCTC